CTGGACTGAGGCCCGCGAGCAGGCCCTGTGCGGCGCCGGCCTACGCAAGACCAAGTACCGCAGCTTCCGCCGGCGGCTGCTCAAGTTCATCCCCGGACTCAACCGCTCCCTGGAGGAGGAGGAGAGCCAGCTGTAGGGGCGCGGGTAGGCAGGCGGGAGGTATTTATTTATTTATTCATTGTAACAGCCAGTGCAAAAAGTGGGGACAGTAGTGCCGGTCCAAGGACCTCAAGAGCCCAAAGCTGCGGGAGAGGGTCCTTGCTAGCTCTGGCAGGTCTGGTCGGTTCGCGGCTTGTCTCTGCTGAGGAAAAGGGGAGCCTAGTTGCTTCCTTTCCTCCCCTACATCATAACAGGATCTCTGCAGGGGGAGAAGAGACACCGGGAGTTGGGAGAGGTCTGAGGGACCAAAGAGGGCTGTGCAGCCTACAGTCTGGGTCAGTTGTGCCTTGTGGGGGCCTGTCCCAAAAGCCCTCTCCTCAGCTTTACCTGCTCCCCAACCCTTATCCTTGGGGAGAGGAGATCCATGATGGATCATTCCCACCCTGAACACACACACACACACACACACACACACACCCAAGGGGGCAAGGTGCTGGGTCCCTCTCTTGAGTCTTGACCCCAAAGGGCTTAACCCCTCTCCAGGGGTCTGTACTAAGTGGGTCTTGCCAGGCAGGGGTCCTGGATTCTGCGCTCCTTGGGGAACAGGAAAGAGTACATTCAGGTGGGCTGGGGCAGTCTGGACTGTACCAGCGGGTTTGTATATGTGTGTGTGTGTCTGTGTGTCTGTGTGTGTGTGTGTGTGTCTGTGTGTGTGTGCGTGTTTGCATATGTTACTTCTAAACCACAAACTGTATAAAATTGCTGGTATTTTGCATGTGTGTCAGCGTGGTAACTGCCTGTGGGGGAGGACTGTGCTCAGGCAAGCTCTGACTCCACCATGCAGCCCCCTCCAAACACAGGCTGCATTTTACATCTTTCTTTTAGCCCGAAGCCAGGGAAATTGTCTAAGGGATTTTAATGAACATGTACTGGCCTGAATTGAGTCCCCCCCATGCCCCCCCTCCCGCAACTCGAGCCTCCTGTTGGCAACCCCAGATCCCCACAACAGACATAGGGGTCTCTTGTCTAAAGTCCCTTACTGTCCCTGTGGGAAAGCCTGGCTCATTGGGGGGAGCACCCGAGTCCACAGACAGCCACTGTCCACCCACCCTGTGACAGGTTCAGTCTCCTGTCCCCAGTCGGCCCATGCTTCATTCCTGCGGGCCCCTTACTTCTCTGGATGCTGGCTACAGACCTTCCCGGTCTCCTACCTCTCCAAGGCCTGCCCATCAGTCAGATGTGGCCACACCCTCTGTATCCTCACCACCTGGCCCGGTCTTGACTTTGTGGGTTTAGCGGCCTGCCCTCCCCACTCACAAGGTCGCATGCTTCTGGCAACAGAGCCCAGGGATTCTCTGCTTTATGCCCAATCTTACTACACCAGACCCTCAATAATACAGTGTGTTCCAGGTTAGCCCCAGAATGTCACCACGTGCCTTGAAACAACCTGCTGAGTAACAGACTTGGTAGTCACACGGCAAGCTAGCAGCAGCCTGGCACTATACCATGTCAAAATGGAAAAGACCCCTATTCCATGTCAGTGGCCAGCATTCAGTTGTAGCTTTGAGAGACGTGCCCTTCCCTGGGCGCACCCCACTCCACATAAGGTGTTTCCCTTCTGTGTGTGGATATCATTTCTGCCCCCATTCTTAGGGTCACCCTTCACACAGCAGTCAGGTGACCCTTCCAAAAGCAAGCCCAGAGATGGCACCTGAGCACTTGGGAGGTGGAGGCAGAAGGAGCAAAGATGCCAAGTCTAGCTTCAGACAGCAAGTTAGGCTAGCCTGGGCTACATGAGTAGCCCTCATTTCAAAACGGAAGTAATGCCTCAGCAGACAAAAGCACATGTTGTTATATAAACCTGATGACCTGAGTTTGATGCTCAGAACCGCAAAGAAAGAAAAGAACCAACTCCTAGAAGTTGTTCTGTGGCACCATGTGACCACTGTAGCACATGTACAACTATTCTTAACACATAAATCTCTCTCTCTCTCTCTCTCTCTCTCTCTCACACACACACACACACACACACACACTAAAAATACACAGTTAATTTTAAAAAGTTAGTTTGGGGCTGGAGAGATGGCTCTGAGGGTAAGAGCACTGGCTACTCTTCCAGAGGTCCCGAGTTCAATTCCTAGCAACCACATGGTGGCTCATAACCATCTGTAATGAGACCTGGTGCCTTCCTTGCCAGCAGTACATTGTATGCTTAATAAATAAATAAATATTTTTTAAAAAGTTAGTTTTGAAACTTTTGGAACAAGGCCTTTTTACATAACCCTGGCTGTCCTGGAACTTACTATGTAGACCAGGATCACTCACAGTGATCCTCCTGCCTCTGCCTTGAGTGCTGAGATTACAGGCATGTGCCACCACGCTTGACACATGAATTTTTTTCTTTTTTGGAGGGGGCAGGTTTTGAGACAGGGTTTCTCTGTAACTTTGGAGCCTGTCCTGGAACTTGCTCTGCAAACCAGACTGGCCTTGAACTCACAGATCCACTTGTCTCTGCCTCCCGAGTGCTGGGACTAAAGACGGGCACCAACCACTGCCTGGAAAATTATCTTTCTTTCTTTCTTTCTCTCTTTCTTTCTTTCTTTTTTTTTTAAATCAAATCTCAACTCTCTGTCTGCTTCAAAGCCATCATGGCCTCCCCTTGGGAGAAAGATATGAAGTTAGAACTTTTACCATGGCCGGCCCATCACCTCGCTCTAAGCAATCTCTCAGCCATTGGAAGCCTTGTGTAGGACACAAACCCAACCACACTTTACTGGGATGGTTTGCATTAGACCTACGGAATCTTCTCTTCGCTTCTCTCTGCAACCTCAGATTCTTTCTCCTTTCATGTCACTGGTATTCAGACCAAACTAGTTGCTCCTATCCCCAACACTGGCAGCCTGTCTCTGGCCTCTACCTATGCTGTTCCTCTGTCTATATTTTTCTGGATTGATTCCTTGTCCTGAGGTCCCAACTTAACAATACCCCCTCAAAGATTTTTCTGGGTCCCCTGGTGTCAATCTCTGTCCCCATTATTCTTCATCTTAACTCATTTGTTTTCTTTGTGGTATTTCCTTCAGCTTGGTAGACATGCTGACTTCTTGTATTGATATTCCAGTGTCTGTCTTGCCATTGTTGGGGCAGGTTGTATCTCAGGGCTGGGGTGTGGCTCAGTGCCAGAGACTTCATGTGTGAGGTCCTGTGTTCAGTCCCCATCATGGCAGTAAATAATAAAGATGAAAACCAACTTGTGAGTCAGTTATTAAAGCTGCCCCCTAAGGGCCTCATCCAAGGCCCACCCACGGCAGATGCTTCATAAAAGCTCAAGAGGGTCACGTGCCTTCTGGGACCACAGCTGGGTAAAGGGAAACTCTGCCTCTCCACCTGTCAGCCCCAGGGTGGGGAGAGACGGCCCCTCCTCTGCTTCACCTGGAGCTGGCATCTGTGGGCTCCTCTAACAATGTCCCTTTGGGGGTGGGCGGTGGCTGCCGTGGTGGCACCTGCACCTTGACATTGTGGTTTTCCCGGTTTGGGAAGGAGGACGTTTGATGAGGAAAACAGCTTTTCCACCCTCTTGTGTTTGAGCAGCTGCTTTGCTTTGAGGTTGAGCATCCCTAGCTCTCGGATCTAGAGGAGGAGCCCTCTCACTTTTGTCCCCAGAGCCCATGGCTGCCAGGAGGCCAGCTGCCTGGCACAGGTCAGCCCTTGCTGGGCTTATGGGTCTTCCTGGGTCTTCCTGGCTTCCTCCTCGCAACCCCACTCTCACCAGCCTGTCCTTACCTCCCAGCCACGCAGCTGGTCTCGGAGTGATGCCAGTAGCCCTTGCCCAGGCTGAAAGGCTCCAAGAGAGGGGGAGAGTGGTCCAGGGTGGGGCCAGATCCCACCTCTCAGCTGATGGATGACGGCACCAGCCTCCTGCCGTGTAGGTGGGTGACAGGGAGTGACTAATGTGTGAGCTGTGTTGCTAAAAATTAACCTAGGGATCGTGTTTGGTGGAGGGGGTGGGGGTGTGTGGGGAAGGAGCAGGGACTGCAGTATTTAGTGTGTGGTCGGTATTCCCTGTCCTCCCTCCCTCCCCTTCTTACCAGCCTTCTGCTCTGCCCCAGGCAAGAAGGAGCCCCCAGAAATTCCAGGGAGGAAAGTGGGCTCCACTGAAGGTGTCACACAAGGCGGGAAAAGGTGCAGCGCTTCAGATAAGAGTCTGTCTGAGGCCCCTATGGAGTTGGGCCCCTGTCCCATCTCCCTGGCATAACTTCTCATTCTTGGATCTCCTAGTCCTGCCCCCTCCACCTTGGGCCAGAGAGGGGAGGCTTCCTGGAGGAGGGACATTGAGGTCAGGGTAAAGAGATGGTAAGGAATGGGTTGAGTGTGTAAAACTGGTGAGACTTAACTTGTGGGAGGAGGACGGGTTAGGGGAGGGAAACAAAAAGTGGGCTTGACAGAGCGGGGTCTGAGATGCGTCAGCTCACAGGAGGAGGAAGGAGTCCAGTTAGGAGGGATCGAAGTTCCGTGCCAATGAGAACATTCCTATTAAGGTAGGGAAGAGGGGTAGGCTCTTAAAACGTGGTTCAGGGGACACATAAAAGGGCCTTGGATACGGAAAAGGGCATCGTTGGCACATGTGAAAACATCTGCCGAAGAAGTGACTTCGTCAGACCTTAGGTCCCCCAGAAAGCCACACCAGGGAACTTAAGAGGGGTGACCTCAAGAGCAGAGGCCAGATCTAGAAGGTACTTTCTGCTCACCAGACGACGGGGGATGGAGTTGGAGAAATGAGAGACCTAAGGGATTCCCCAAGGTCAAGAGAGACGTCAGGTTTCGTCTGGCTGGAGGCTGCCTAGTCCTGCATCAACAAGCCGATGAAATGACCTGAACGAGGAAATGAGGCGCTCAGAGAGGCCACAAAGTTCTTGAACAAGGAGACTGAGATGAGACACTTGCAAGCAGGACAGGGTGCCGCTCTCTGGTGGAGACCTGGGAATACTGCACCTCTAGGTCCTGCTCACAGGTCCTCGGCTGTGGCCCCTCCCAAGAATCATGAGCCTTCTTTGTCCTCTAGTCTTTTGTCAGAATCACCCAGATGTCCTCCTGTCTGGTCTCCCTTTCTTCTCCTTACAGCCTACAGACTATCCAGGGAGGAACCCCTACTCCATTCATCTCTGCCTCCTGCCAGCTCAGGGCCTGGCACCCAGTGGGAGATCCAACAGTCGAGATGGGAGGCGGTTCTGATTCTGTGGAGGACACTAAACATACTTGATTTCCACCAGCATGGTTGGAGTCTGAGCGTTTCCAAACTTCACTGGGTAGGAGGAGCGGACCTGCCAGACACTGGAAGGACCTTGCCTCCTGGAAGCTGGCCCTTCAAGAGAGAACATGCAAACTTATACAATAAGTAAAAGTGATACAAATGTTGCCTTTGAGTCTCTTTCCCAACAGCTCCTGTAGAGTCTATAGACTCGCTCACGGATTCCCTGTCCACTTGGCGAGCCTAGGGTGACAGCCCCCACCTACACAGCAAACTCAGTACTGTCTGGAATTCTCCAGATTCCTCTTTTATGGAAGGTCAGCCTGAGCCCTACTTTCTCTGCTCAAACAAGCACCAGCTTGGTGGTTAAAGTGCGGCAGAGGACATTTAACGGCACTTGCGGGGCCCCTCCCCATCACCTTCCTTTATCATTCTGGTCTAGGTGCTCAGGGTTGGACCAGGGCATTTGTGGTTTCAGAGTACCCCCAAAACAGCAGAGTACCCCCAAAACAGCAGAGCAGGGGGCAC